CTGTGGCCCACTAACAGTTCAGAACAGCAGAGGTTTTGTACCTTTGCCCCTCTTTGGTGGACACTGGCGGTTTCCCAGCCAATCCTATCCTAAAAACCTGAGGATGAAAAATCGAGTAATGAGTCTGGCAGATCAGTCTCTCACATTAGGCTGAATTTTGTTTGAGCCTGTACTCAAAACCCAGGACTCTTTCCTTTGAACTGCATTTCTCCAAAAATAGTTCAAAGAATTTTGAGAACATGGATGCCAAAAATCAAGCCTGGAAACCACCACAGCCTCCCTTTAAACCACTCCATTTCCTCCTGGGAGCTGTGCTGTTGCTTTGCACAGCTTGTCAAACAGCCCCTCCAGACTCAGCCCCGGCCCTGCCGTTCTCATTCATCAGGAGGCTCAGGCTGCAGCATCCAGCTGCTCCAGGGCTGGGCCCTCACAAGTGATCCTGCTGGGATGTTACACCTGCCTGTTGAAATGACCTTGGCTATTTTTGACAAAGAGAGAAAGATGAAATAGCTGCTCGCTCCCAGTTTGTACAAAACATCTTTTCCGAGGAGAACTATGTTATCCATATGTATCCAGGCTGTGCCAGACAGCAACACCACCATCCCTCTGCCCTGGGTGACACAGCAACAACAACCATGGCTTGGCATTATTGTGACAACAGCTCTTTAATTACACTTTGGGCAAGTACTATATTTTCTCCCCAAAACTATTAGCAAAGCAAACACTTTGAAAACCACTCCATTTTTGCATTACAACTTCTGTGTTTGTTCATTTTGACATTTCTCAACCCGGCACACACAATTTTTGGAAGCTTCTTCCTTTTAGTTCAGGGCTCTTGCTCTGAACTTTCTTTATCCTACCCGTTGCCCCCTGCTCTGTGAACCCTCTGTTAAGCAGAAAGATTTCTGTGATCTTCCCCACAATGAAAAATGCTCATGAGAGTCAAAATAGCCTTCAAAAATATTGCCTGATTAACATCCTGAAAGAAAGACCACTTTATTCCTCACAGGTCTGATGAATTCTGTGAGAGGCTTATTTAGATTTCACTGAGGTCTTTTTTAGCTGTTTCTTCAAAACTAACTCAACAATGTCCTAAACACTTAATCTAGAGCAAATGAAAAGTTCTAATCATTTATTAAGTTAAGGATAAGCAGAAAATCCTTGCTGGATTGGGGCCTAAAGGCCTGCAAATACAGATGGCTGTTAGCAAGGCCCAGAAGAGGCCAGGTAACCACCAACAGGCAATTATATTCCTACCAGAACTTCAACTGTTTGAAGTTAATTGCTTTGAAATAATTGGACAGGTGAGCAGGTAAGTTCACACAGAGCATTTGCAATTTTGCTTTGTATTTAAACAAAACAACAGTGCAGACTGCATGGACAAAACAGGCATGATTTTAACAAAACAAGTTAAAAGGCAAGGGAAAGGTATGGTTGGGGTTTTTTTATAGACTTTTCCTTTCAGTTTTTGGCATCATTAAAACGCTGAAAACATTTCATTCAAGAGCTTCTTTAGTTAATACCTCATTACTTCTCTTTTTATTGTTATGGTAATCAAGCCTAATATATTGCAGCTTTATAGCATGAAATGAAGGCTAGGCCTGTGGGCATGGACAGATGTACACCAGCATGCAGTAAAACACAGGTACAGAGACATGCAGAGCTGAATATGGCACTGGGGTTTTTGTAATTGTTTAGCAATTCATCTGAAGTTATTTTAACCTTGACAACAGATGAACTCTAACACGTACCGTGAGCAGCCACTGGAAAGCTGCACTGAAAAGCAAGTTTGGTGAATGTTGTCTTACAGGCTGAGCTCTAGGAAAGCACGACACCAAGGCTGAGCAAGATGATTAAATTGTTTGCATGGCTACAGGCTGTAGCTGTAACTATTCCAAACATTTAACTGAGAATATTTTAGCCAGGGGAGAATGATAATGCTGGGAAACTGCATTAACACCAAAGCCTTGCCTCCCCGTGGGAAATCAGGGCTCAGGGTCAGGATCCAGACCCTCTCCTGTCACAGGCACACCGAAATAATAAAAACATACTTCTGGTTCTGAAGTGACACTTGGACCTTGTGCTGGAGCTCTGCTTATGGTTGAATTTCACCCATCAAATCCAGTGGAAGTTATAAATAACTTTTAGAAAGTTATAATGGTCTTGTTGAAATAGCATCTCAGCAAGAGTGAGTGGCCTTAGATCTTCTCCAGTAAATGACAACACACGACCCCCAGTGTCAGGGAGGCTCCACTTCTCAGCGTTGCTTTGCTTTCAGGAGAGATCATCCAGGAAACCATTCCAGCTCCTGGGAGATTTTCTAAATTTAAAGGGAGTGTTTTGGCTGGCGATCCCTTCCCCAGTGAAATTGCTTCAAACAGCCAACATGAAAAGCAATATGCCTGTGACTGCACAAAATCCCCGGGACTGAGGACCACACAGGGAAGTTCTAGAGCCCCACGGGTTTGGGGTGGCACCATTCAGCCAACAGCTCTGGTTTAGCCCTGAGGGAACATCCCAAATCACATTTGGCACTGCAAACACGTGACCTTCAGAGTAGCTGCACAACATTGAAGCAGTAACAGGAAGAAAGTAGGCACAGATTATTCCAAGTAGGTGATAGATTATTCCACTAGAAGTGAAAAATGTTTTCCACATTCTGACTGGATAACAGTAAGACATGACTCAAAACATGGATCATGGGTCTGAAAAACCTGGTTAACCTCATATAGGCAAAGCTCCCACTTCTCTCTTCTTCCTTGGAAATACCTGGAGTAACAATGCACTGCATTCCACTGAGATCTCCTGATTTAAACCTTTTGATTTGAACAAAGTCCCCTAACAATAAAGAGGCCAGTCACCCAAATTTCTAGTGTGCACTAAAAGCTGACTTCCATGAGGCCATTCACTCCTCCAAGCATCAAACTGGGAAGTGCTTGTGGGATCAGCCCTCGGGCCAGGAACACATGTTGCCCAGTGTATAACAAATGGAATGAGAGACAATGGGCACTATAGGCCAGCAAACACACTAATTATATTAATAAAATGAAAGCTTAAATTTTGAAGCTAATCCTGGGCTATCATTTATAGAAGTTAGCAGGGCATATTTAATTTAGGAATTGGCCAACGCTTCCCTTTCCACCGCTGAAACCTCATAAATGAAAAGCCCTGGATCGGTGCCCAGCACGGAAATAAAAGTTATGAATAATGTTTCTATCTCCATCATTGTCACTGCTTTAATATTCCTAATTACTTTAAAAAGCTAAATATTCAATATAGCAAAAACCTTCTTTTTCTTTTATCTCCACTTGCAAGATTAGGGCAATTTAATAAGAGTCACTGGGTAGTTTTAGCCCATGGGACCAGTCTGAGATCACTTGACATCTCATCCTTTCCTTTCATCTTCACCCAGAATGGAGAGTTTGTGACTCTGTGTGTATAAATCTATATGTGTGTGTCCATATTGCGACAGTGTTTATTTTTAACATTATTTTTAACTTCTGTAAGTGCACGTGCACTGTACAAATACTGACTGGTAGGTTAAATATATCTGATACTGAGACTAATCAAAAGACTAAATGAGTTCCTGAGAATCTTTACAATCATCTCACCATTTAAGGTACTATTTTTCTTTTTTAATATATTGTTAGAGATGAATATTTAGTAAGTTATGCTGCCCAATTTTTCCCTTGTCTGCATGCCAGGTAATCCCAAAAGCTTGCTTCAAACCCCAAAGCACAGCCTTTGTTCCATCCTTAGAATCGCAGAATCCCAGAATGGTTTGGGTTGGAATGGACCTTAAAGCCCATCCAGTGCCACCCCCTGCCATGGACAGGGACACCTTCCACTAGCCCAGGTTGCTCCAAGTCCCGTCCAGCCTGGCCTTGGACACTTCCAGGGATGGCAACAGCTCCTCCCTCCCCACTCCTCCCTGCTGCCTTTCCTGCTGTGCCTGAGGGACATCCCAGAGCCGCAGACAAAACCTGACCAGAGCTGCCCCACTGCCTTCAGCCTCTGCAGAGGTTCCTCCTCTGTCACATTTAACTCTCATTCCCTTCTAACACCTCCCTCTATAGATCTCTTTTCTGTTACCTTTTTGCCTGCTAATTACGCTTTTTTCTCAAGATCTCAATCAATTTGGGAGAAAGGGAGGAAGTAAACACAAAATGAAACGTCCATTCAGCTTCATGTCACAGCATCTCTCCCCGTGTACCTTTATTTACTTGCCTGATGCACAAATTGACTTCATTTAACAAGCTTATTTCTTTTATGTCAATAAGGTATCGGGCCTGTGTTACATCAGAGCTCAGATGTTTGTGCTGCCTGTTCCATTCCACAGGAACCAACCACAGAGCCCTGAACTCACCGCTGCCAATTAAGGGAGTTTAACAAACACAGCTTCACCAGCTGGAAGAATTGAAAAGTGTGGATTAATTCCCTTGCAAAAGGTGCTTCCCTAACTCCTGCAGTATGGATCTGAGGTATGGATTGCAAGGCAATCCAGGGCTGCCTGGAAAGTCAATGGCAAAACTCCCACTGGCTTACCAGGACAAGGATTCTATGAGGAGAGAGGGCTTTCCAAAGGGCTCCAACACTCCACAGGGTATTTCATGAAGAATGTGTTGTATTAAAGATTTAAGAGATAAAAAAATTCATAATACAGCTCTATTATCTGTACTGGTATCCCAATAACCAAAAGCATTAAGAGCATCTTCCACTGCATTTCACATTTCTTTGTAAAAAACAATCACAAAAGGCCGAAGTCATTATCCTAGGAAAGGACATTATCACATATTCATGGAATCCCAGAATGGTTTGGGTTGGAAGGGACCTTAAAGATCATCTCATTCCAACCCCCCCAACAATATCAATTATTACAAAATAACAGACAAAATTCATTTTTCCACTTAAAGCATCCAAGTTCTAAGACCACTGCTTTATAAGGCCTGTTTTTTCACAGCAACACGTATCTTTATCACATTTTGGTAATGTTTACTCACCACTGGAGCAATCAGTGCCTCCCCATCCTGGTTCACAGTGACACGTGTCAGGAGAGACACACCTTCCATGCACACACTCCTCCGTGCACAGAGCTGTTAAAGGAAACAACAGCATTGTAAACATCTTAAGTGGTTGCTAAACATACCCTAAACTGTGCCTTAGAGAGTAATGTTTGGTTTAAAAATAATAAACAAAGCAAACACATGCACAAAAGAATAATTACTCCCAAGATTTAATTATTGCTAAGTGACCAAAACAAAACATAGGTCTCTTGACAGCAATAAATTCATTTGTCACTTCAGCCCTTTGTAAGGAAAAACTCCAACACCAGAAATTCCTTTGCTTAGCAGTTTTGCTCCATAATAAAGTTTTTATCAAACTGACACTTTTTATTATATTACAGAACAGCAGCTTCTTACATCACACTCAAGTTGTGACTGTCCCTAAGATAAAATGAAGCTCAGTCTTGAAAGATTAAAAAGACCCAAAATAGTAAAAAATAGCTCGAGGAAAGTAAATAATTTTACTACATGATGCAGTAGCTGTAAGTGCAGTCCTGTCTTTTCAAGGTCATCCAGTTTTCCATGACCACAGTGTTCTCATCTCACTTGTTCACTGGTGGATTATTGAGAGTTCAGGATCCTCAAGGTTCAAACTAAGACAAACTGCCTGAGAAGCAGCTCATAGTTTAAATAATTCCCTCCTCCTTTGCTGTTTCAGTTCCCAGCGTGTGCCTTTGTGCCCAGCACATCCTAAAAACTTGGACAGCACTGAATAACTGCTTTAAAGGCTGGACTTTACTGCTCTGCACCTTGTTACCATTTTACTGCTCAGGACATTGTCAAAAACTCAGGGAGCCAGAGATTGAGGTTGGATGGTTAAGCTGGAACACATCATTGCCACCTAGACTAACGTGCAGGAGTTATTAATGAATATGATGCAGCTGCAATGAGGTCACTATAATAAAATATATATACATATATTTAATAGAGATCTCATATATATATGATTTATGTCCTATATAACCTACATTTGTGTATGCTGTGTTTTTACAGCAGATGGGAAACGTGGGCATTGTGTTCACTTAACCAAGAGCTGGACTACAAAAGACTCATCCCCAGACAAAGATTAATTCATTGCTGTCTAAAGCAAGGCCAGCAAAGCTGGTCTGGGGAGTAGCTCTGAGTTGCTGTGCTGGACACGAGGTAGAACCACCCAAACCACCTGAAATCAGCCACAAAACCTCCTGGAAAGTGCCCTGGGCCTGCAGGTGAAACACTCTGTGAGTTCCCAGGGACCTCCTGGGCCAAAAGCTCCGCACCAATGTCTCGTCCCTTGGAATGATTCCTCCTCCCTCTGACATTCCACCTGGACTCCCACCCTGGATCCCACCTTGGCCCTGCCCTCGGGCTGCAATCAAAGCTCACGGAAACATTTTGCTGCCTGGTCTGTGTTTGGGTCATTGCAGATCATGCCCACGAAGCTGCTCACAAAATACTGAAATCCAGCCTCAAACCACAGGTGAACTTTGAAGAATCCCGTGGGACAAATCCTCCTGCTCTTCATCCACCAGATCCCACGTGAGCAGTAATTGGAATGTTGTCTCGTTAAACCCACTGCAAGATCCTTCTAAATTAGTCACTTCCTTCCCACGTTTGCTGCATGTCAAAAATGCAATTTATTCTCATTTCATATCTTGTGTTTAGACAGTATTGCAGTGGGCATGAAATATTCATGGCTAATTCTCCAGTCACTAATTGTCCTAATCTTTTGGGCATTTATTTTACTCCAGATAGGCTTTCTGAAGACAGGGAGGCATCCCAGTCTACAGCTGTAACATGGAATTCAAGGCAGGATATTGGAAAAACAGGATTTTCCAATAAAATATACACACCTCCCTGCATCATTGGAAAATGGCTGGGTATTATTTACAATAATAAATCATTCTTACATGTAAAATGTGTGACATTTTTATCCTTTTAACGAGGCTGGTTCTGAGCTCAAGGCAAAATTTGTCAGCCAGAAGGTTGATGGTGGACTAGTTTTTTGGTCCTCCCAAATAACAAAACTCCTCCTCATTACTGGCCTAAATTTAATTGATTTCCACAGGGACATATCACACCTTAACTATGTTAACATAAATATGGAAGAATAATAAATAATTAGGCTAATAAAGTTTACTTGATCACTCATCTGTGGACAGAAGTGCTTCAGTCCCATGGGAAAAGTGCAGTGAGACTTAGAAGGAAGACTCGAGATAGAATTCCTCATTCTATCCTCATTCAGTGACATGGACAATAATAAAAATATACTATAAGGAGCTGTGTCTTTGTTTTCAGGTGTTTTGAAGTCCTGCATAGCTGAAGATGACAATGTTTAATGAGCAATTCAAGAGTTAAATAGGGTAAAGACACTCATTAGAACTGTGGGTTCTCTGATCTCTGGTTGATTAACTGGCTAAACAAGCAGCTGTGAGCTCACCAGTGACTAATCCCATGTGGGGGTCACAGAATCCCCCCTTTTTTTTTAAAAGGAGAAACTTGGACATAAATAATTGTATTTAGGGAGGCAAATAATCAGACTCCTGCACTGCCTGATTCAAATCAGGCCTATAAAGGTCATATTAGGGTACAACTCTAAAGTTTTACCACGGCAAATAAAATTTTGAATTTCTCCTATAAAAGGGAAGTCTTGCCTTGCTCTAGTCTTTAGAGTTTAAATTAATTTTTCATTCTATTAACATTCAACATAATAGGACACAATGGTCCCCAAGGCATTCTTCGTAATACACTTTGCTCAGGGGTTTGCAAATGATCTTACTAGTTAATGGAACTATAAAAATTACTTGCACATAAAGGTCAAGAAAAATAAAGATAAGTATATATACTTTCTGACACCGTCCCATCCAACACTCAGCCAAAGGCCCCTGGAGTAAAGCAAACTTGGAGCGATGCAAGGAACATAATTCCTGCCAGTGCAGCAGCCCCAGCACTCCAACCTTTGGAATTCCAGACATCTCGTGTCTGCATTTTCCCTGGACCACTTCTCCAGCCCCTCATTGATCAGGGCATCATTAACATTCCTGGCGGGAGTTTAACATCAGGTTGTCGTTTGATTCAGCCCGGTAATAAAATGACCCAGATCAAAGCCCTGCCAAAATGCCATCTCTGTGGCAATGTGTTCAGCATGAGTTATTTGCCCATATTCAAGGTTACACGGCCACTGCTCCTTATCATGCAATAAAGGCAACAAAAGGGTTCTGCAACAACTCATTTGATGCTTATCACTTACTTTATAATTACACACGGGGCTTTTTTTAACATATAAGGTCAATCCCCAGGGAAACAGACCTGAAGATTAAACTCTGCTCCCACCTGAAGTGGCCGCCCAGGTTTCTCCAACGCTAGCACTGATTTTTTAATTGTTGTCCAGAACTCGAATTTCGATATCTGAAATGCTTTCCCTGAGTCTCCTCTCCACAGAGGTGTGACACAGCCAGGATAACGCTCTGGAGGAGAACACTGCTCAGTGCAGCAGAACTGAGAGAACACTTCCACTGCAGAGTTCCTTCAGCTGAGGGCACCACAGGGAGTTTATCCCAGACAAAACTGGAGCTGCTCTGCCTTCCTTGGGGCTGCACTCCTCTGTATGGACCCAAACTGGGGTGTTGCAGGGGTTATACACTGTGATACCCTGCACATCACCACACTGACCTCTGGTACCTCACAATCACATTCCCAGCTTCCTTCCTAGAGGTCAAAGTGCATTTAGGGAAGAGTTTCATCCTGGGGGAATAAGTATGGAGTGAATTAGCTTGGGAAAGTTTTGTTACCTTGTCCAAAAATATAACTTGTGTGTTTCTCTCACAAAAGACAGAGTGACAAGCAACACAACTTGTGCTTTCAGTGGCTGTGGTGACATCTGCAGTGGCCCTGGGGACCTGGGGGAGTTCACAGCCACCGACCCAGCAACTTCCATCTGCCTCCCACTCTGCTGTGCCAGGCAGGCAAAATATCTTCCAAAGACCAGGACAACTACAAAGTGTAAAGGGACCCAGAGCAGAGAGCAGAAAACAGGCTCCATGAGCTGCCCTCCCCCATGGCAGCATAGCTGCTGGAGAGCCCTGCTTGAGCGTTCCGGATGCTCTGGAGGTTCCTGGGCTCCGTGAGCTTTGTGCCCAGGGATGGCAGTGCAGCCAGGAGGTGATGGAAAGCACACATAAGTGTAGATACATTATAATAATGGAAAACATTGCTAAATGGATATGGATGCTACTGTGAGACACAATGAGAAATTCAGGCACTCGCCTGGAACTGCACAGAATGACCTGGTTGTTGTGACCGCACATGTGGCACAAGGACATTGCTCCAAAATACTTGTCTTTTCTCTGCCCTGCCTCAGGCAGTCTCTGCCAGTTTGTCTTCACAATACAGTGATCTCACACAAACTCTGACCAGTTTCATTTACTTGCTGTTAACCAGAGGTAAATCTGCATTTTTTCTTTCATCTTGCTGGTATTTTAACTTCAGCTCATCTCACCAGTTTGCCCCGTGCTTGAGAGCTGCTGGACTAAACATATCAGAAATTTAATGGGGAAAAGTGATGTTTTCCTTCAATGTTTAATATGTGTCCCTGAAACAATTTGGGCCATTTTAACACGTTCCCCCAGCCCCTTGTGCCACTTTGGGGGAAAGAAGAATTTTGCCAGGTGAAGCAGCCGTTATCTCATGGCCAGTGGTTTCAGATAATGCAGCGAGGTCAAAGCAGATGAAAACAGATGAAAAAGATTCTTGCTCCTTATCCATTAGGAATCTGTTCACTCAGGGCCTCTCTGGTGTTTCCTTCTTAATGTACTGGCCTGGATCCAGGCTGTGCTGAGTCTACAATATCAGCTTCATTAGATAAGCCTGGAGTCAGCTTTTGGCTGGATTCTCTCCGACTGTGCTCAGGGAAGGGAGGTGTGAGAGCAGAAGAAAGATGACCACAGCTAATGCATCCAGGTAGGTTTTCCTCACTCTTAGATTATTGCTTATTTGTGGAACAGAAGACTCCCTCTCTAAATCACTGATTTCCCTCAGGAATGCAGATGATT